CGATTGAGTAAACCCAGAAAAACCTCAATCAGGTATATGGTATTTTTAGATGACTATGACTTTTATCCGACGTCTATACCTAAAACTCCTCTCGGGTGATCCACACCTGACTTCCGCGAATTGTTGATCTTGGCAACTTTCTCGACTGCTCTAAACGGGGGCAGGGGATGGTAATGGAATCATGCGTGATATCAAGCCGTACCGTGCATGACGCGGTGAAACACAAAGGGATGATTTTGAATTTCTGAATTTCTCAGAAAAAAATCGTTAAATATAAACAGCACGTACTTGTACATTAAGGGGGGTATACGCACCCAGGCAGGGTGCGCGAGATAATCGCACAATGTTCCCTCCCAACTTCAATGCAAGGGAATTCACTTTTGACTATCCTTCCGCAGGCCACAAAAAATGGCGGCGCGGGCCACATGCGGCCTGCGAGAAACGAGGTGGACAATACTGCTCAACATACTTGCACTTCGCGGAACTTGAGTTGGCGGAACTTCGGGAACGACTTTTAGCCTGGGACCAAATACAGAAATTATAGCTTTACGTCTATTATACCTTTATTCAAAATACCTTCAAAATACCGTTATATTAAGTCAAATACTTGTATTTTTGGAGATATTTTACTTTTATCCGACGTCTATACCTGTAAAATACCTATATTTCATGGTACTGTACCGGTATTTTCTCATGAAAGTAGAATCCTATCAGTATTTGTGGGAAATCATTGTGATTTTACCACTGAGATGACTCAGAGGAACAACTATTGATATTGCAGTTTCTGACCGGGAGGTCCTAAATTTCTAGTCTCGACAGTGGTGGATTATCGATACTTGCCTCACTATTCTAGCTACTTCGAAATCTGCCGTTGGCTGGAAAAGTATTCTAGTGGTCGGGTTTTCTGAACGATAGATTTCCAAGGTGTCTCCGATCAGAATCAGGCGGATTCCGGAGTAGTACTTTAACACTGATCATTATCTTCCTCTGCCTTGACGACCTACATGTAAGTCACCGCGCATCTAAACTTTCAAACTTGTTGTTTCATATAATTACACATCGAGAAGTTCGTTGTACTATAAGACAAGGACTATAAGTACTATAAGATACAAATCAGGCAGACATACAAAAGTATTGATATGTTGAACTGCTTGTTGATATGTTGAATATAAAATTTCAATTATATGCACCCCATGAAGAATATCATACAATCAATTCTGCATTACTTCAGTAAGCATGGATGCAAGCAGTACATGCGGGAAAGCCCATAATATACGGATACAAAATATGGACAAAAGCTACAAGAAATGGTTACGTTCTTTGGATTCTACGATCCATACAAAGATTCTAGTACATCTTTACTTTCATTTTGATAGCTCCTTGCATAGAAGTGATTGAGCAGAATGTATGACAGTTGCATCAACTTGAGGGAAATGAAAAATTGGACTACTTGGAATCTCGTTGACGAATTTGTTTGTCAGTGTTAGAGGCAAATGCAAGAATGTTCAAATCTAAAGGGAGACCGTCACAATCAGAGCACAAAGAGTCGAGATTTGACAGCCTATATCGTTAGGTAATCAATCAAGACGAACTCATTGCAGAGAATGTCAAGAAACGGCAACGACGTCATCTTTACTTTGTGTGGCATATCACGAGGCCAAAAATGTTATGTTGGATTACATGTGAAGTGCTTCGATGCGTATCGCACAAAGTGAAAGCCATGTATTTTAAATTGTTGGTGGTTTTTATTTTAAAAAAAGTTTGAAGAATTGAAATGTGAGCTTCGGATGTCTGAGCTTTGGCCCCAACAATTTTTTTGCAGTGTGTGTGTGTGTGTGTGTGTGTGTGTGTGTGTGTGTGTGTGTGTATGTGTGTATGTGTTTGTGTGAGTGACAGAGAGAGTCAGAGAGAGAGATAAAAATAGACAAATAGACAGAAAGACAGAGAGGGACAGACAGAAACAGAGAGAGACAGAGAGAGTGGACGAGCGAGCGTGTGCCTTGAACGTACGTGTTCACGGTTGTGGGCGTGCGTAAGTGCGTGCGTGATTTTTTATTTTATTAATACGCATTTTACAATACGATTAACGAAAGGAAGATACTTTCTCTATGTGGGAGGCGTGAGGGACATTATTTTCCATATAACCTTTATGGACTTGCATACCAGAATAGACGTCCTATAAAGATATTTTACCGGTATAAAGATATTTGATAGAGGTATAGCAAAATACCGATATTTAACCGGTATTTTTACCGGTATTCAATACCTTTTCGGTCCCTGCTTTTAGCACCTCAAGCTCTTCCCGATCCAATGTTTGTACGTTCATTTTACTTAAAAAAGACACCCGAAAAACCGCTTAAGATCTGTGAAATCGGACCAAAACATCTTAATTAGAAAAAAAGAATGTAAAGCGCCATTTCATTTTTCGACAGGGACCCTAGATGAAGTACAATTCGAATAGTATATTTTCGCAAGTATATATATTTTGTGAAGATATACAGTTCACAACGCAGTCGGAATATAGAGTAGCTTCTACAAAACGTCAGTTTCTGAGCTGTCACTTTTCTTGGGCATAGACATATATAAATTACAATTCGTCAACAATGATTTTTGATTGACGATTTTCTCCCAAAAAAAAAAATTAATTCTCGTAAGTGCTTACGCAGTATACAGAATATATTGTAACGCTGTGGGGAAAATCGACGTTTCGACAGAGAAACTTATTGCCGGGCCTTGGTACCGAAAAAGTGGATAAATATTGTCCACATTGTCCCACGTAAACAACTTCATCTACCACATTGTGTAGTCACAGTCCATGTTGTGTGTGTCATTGATATCGAAAAATCGCAAAACGTCAGCCCGTATGTCCGTCTGACTGTGCGACCGCCCAACTATGGTCAACGATAGCGATCAGCCGATTATTTCCAAAATTGGTATTCCCCAAACGATCGGTCTGATGTCGCGGCCAGAATAATTTGAAACAAATATATTAATTTTAGAAGGAGGGGCATTTTACATGAAGCCCTTGGGACATTTTCAAAATTAAAAAAGGCTCCAAATTTTTTAATTAATTTTTTTTCCAATAGCGTAAAGACCGCCGAAGAAATTGGTATAGGTTAAAAAAAACTTATTTTTTGAAAATTTGCAGAAGTTCACATTCTTCTGGCGTCTTCCTGCGACTACAACACAAGTGCCACAGCGATCTCGGATCGAAGGATCGTGGATTTGAGTCCCGCCTCGGGTTTGGTTGTATTTGTGTTCGTCCTTTCACCCTTATCATCACCATATCATGTCATCTTCACAGTTACCATACCGTTACATGCAGTAGTGGTTGCTAATGATCTAGATGTTGATGCGACCTTAAATAACAAATAACAATTCGAATATACGTACGAAATTGACATTTTGTTACTCATGTGGTCGATTTGCTTCTTGGATGGGATATCAGACATGGACACACTTTGGTTTTCTGTTTTTTTGTCACTATTCTATCCAATTGTATCAGAATATTATGTATACGAAGTAACT